TGTGAGAGGGGGCAGGCTGGGCTGAGGGACACTCCCCCGCCCACACCCAGTGCACGAATTTCGTGCACAGGGTCCCTAGTATAAAGTAAATATCAAAAATATAAATCTTTGTTTTACTATGGTTGCAAAGATCAAAAAATTTCTATATGTGACACAGCACCAGAGTTAAGTTAGGGTTTTTCAAAATGCTGACATGCCGAGCTCAAAAGGTTCGCCATCACTGATCTATACCATGGTAAAGAAGCAAAAAAAGGGTTCTAAGCAGCGGCTCATGTAGAATGGCTTCTAGAAAGAGAGAATACAGGGATAATTTACTATTACTATAGAAATCCAGGGGAGAGAGGATTCCAAATACTCTATTTTGGGGAAAAAGCATCTCCAGATCACTGTCTGGAACATAACAGGCATTAAATACTTATGAATGCATTTTATGCTATCCCAATCATGTTTAATACTATATTGCTTATTTTGTCTAAATCATCCAATAAACCGAGCTGAATGAAGGCAGGAACTACATCAATACGATTCTGCCCTCTTCTCCCAAAACTGAAGTTCAGTTTCTGAAGAAAATCCAGTTAAAAATATTCCTATAGCCTGGCCAGCGTGGCTCAGTGGCTGTGCGTCAACCTATGAACCAGGAGGTCATGGTTCGATTTCTGGTCAGGGCACATGCCCAGGTCTCAGGCTCGATACCCAGCGGGGGGTGTGCAGGAGGCAGCTGATCCATGATTCTCATCATTGATGTTTCTATCTCTCCCTCTCCCTTCCTCTCTGAAATCAATATGGGGGGAGGGGGCAGCAGAACCTGCCTCCTGTGCGGTCTGTGATGTAGAAACCAATAAATAAACTAATGAAAACTGTCAGTGCACCTCTTAGAAACAGTGCTAGTATTTGGAACTCCATTTTAATCAAGCAGTCTAAGAAGTACTACAAAATAAAAAGAAACAAAGGTATGTGGAAGTCCTAAGAGGCATTTGATTAATGTTCATTTTTAAGAGTTGAACTGGAAGAAAAAGCAGGATTTTACAAGAGATCAACTAAAAGGACTAATGCTTCATTATAATATCAGATGCCACAATTAAATTAGTACATACAGATCAACTCTTTGCTCAGATTTTGGCAAAGTGATAATACAGTTTGAGCTAAAGTATCCCAAAGTATCAAATATTAAGGAGCAGCTATTTGGAAACAAAGGCTCAAGAGTTTTCCTCAGGTTAAAAAGAGGTCAGTAGAAAATGTACTGCCTGGTTGGAGGTTTAAAACATAGCTACCATATACCATAGAAGGAAAAGAACTAAAATTCACTTCCAAATACTACCAATAAGAATTAACGCCGATTTTCAAGCAGAAGATTATATGACTGAATAAGAGCATTTGTCATTATCTGTTAATGTTATTTCTGAGTGCCTCTGTATTTGAGTAACTGTTTTTTTTCTAGACTCAATTCACTTTATTCATGTGAATGGTAAATTTTATCTGACATTAACCTGTAACTTATTTCTGAAAAGCTGTTAAAAATTTAGTGTTAATTTTTCTTTTCTGTTGCAATAAATCATCAGAAATAGTTTTTATTTCTAACTAGAAGCCCAGTGCATGAATCCATGCACGAGTGGGGTTCCGTGGCCTGGCCTGTAGGATCAGGCCGAAACTGGCTCCCTGACAACCCCCATGGGGTCCCGGATTATGAGAAGGTGCAGGCCAGGCCGAGGGACCCCCATTGGTACACAATCGGGGCCAGGGAGGGATGCAGGAAGGCTCCAGGGTGTGTCCAGCCCATCCTGGTTGGCCGGGCCCCAGCAGAAAGCTAACCTACCAATTGGAGTGTCTGCCCCCGGGTGGTCAGTGCATGTCATAGAGAGCGGTTGAATGGCCTTAGCATATCATTAGCATATCATTGCTTTGATTGGTTGAAGAGCTGACCGGACGGC